CCCAAAAAAAAACTTGAAGTCGTGTATGGGTGCTGGTTGCCGTCAAATACCAATACCAAAGGGCTTGAAATATTTCAACACATCGACGCAAAGTTCGAAATTAAATCACACTGCTGTTTGGTCGTTTAATAGATGTGGCTATGCATTTCTTGATAAGGCAAGTAAACTAGAATTTAAGGGTTTGCCGGATCTTTGTGATCTTAATTTTGCAAATAAGATTCTGGATAATGTTCCAATTGTGGTAGATTGGGCCATCAGAAATCTTAGCTGTGTTGAAGCACAGAAACGCCTCCTTCACTCCCATTTTTAGAAACAAAATTATATTGAGAGCAATTTCCTATATAACCCAAAAGGGTCCGGAAATCTGAAGATTTTGGTAGCTTGTTATTTTTTTTAATTAAACAAAACTTGAAGGAATTTCCATCTAAGCAAATAGGTGCACAACATTGTGGATGTTCAGTAATTTGTGTATCATTCATACGCGTTTCTGGATTTTCCTCACGAGTGGTTCAAGCTGACTTCGCTGCTGTTGTTTCCTCCTTCACTAACTGAGCTACATCGCCCAATTCCAGATCTGGATTTGGTTTTGTTTAGCTGGTCGTCCCTGTAATTAGGTACGTAAATACTCGCCTGAGATATTTCGCTGGTTATGAATGAAAATTCAAGTTGTTATCTTGCTAAGTTTCTGCCTAATTTCATGGGTCCATGGTATTCGAATTACTTGCAGCTATTTTCATATTAAACTTGGATTCTGATTTTTTTAGGCTAAAAATTGTGCTGAAATTATGTGATTCGCATTTAATTAATTCTTAGGCAAATTAAGATTCAACCTCATCATGAGTTAGATCTGAGAAGTAAGAGATGAATGTTGAAAGATTGATTCGAATATTAGTTTATAATCACTAATAGCTTCTGTTTGTTTCTGGATGGATTCATTGGCCAAAAAATGTAAAGAAGAAGGAATTGTTTATTTGGTTCAAAGAAGCATAATTTTCTGTTGATTCATTCTGTAGAAATTAGCCAAACTCAATTTGACGTGTTGCATTCTTGGGCAGTATAAAATGACTAACCCTTTACTTCAATAATTATTTTTTCATAATTCATGGCCTTGCAATAGGCCAAAGTAGTTTAAGGAAGAAACAATCCAATTGTGAACTCTCGTAGTATGCTTTAGGCGCGATTAATAAAATTATCGTGGCCATGGGTATGGCTCCCGTGGCATGGTCACTATACATAAATTCCAATTCGAGTGTGCATTTCATGTAATCCGATCAGAACAACTTCGAATGTTAATAAAAATAAAACATGCCGCGAACCGTGGGTGCATTTCATGTAGCGTGATTTGCGGCGTGTTCTAAAACGGCAAGTGTACGACAATCATAATTTGTTCAAGAAATAATTCCATAAATCCTAAAAGGTTTTTTAAAAAATAAATAAAAGCGGTTATAAAGTTAAAATGCACACTAGGTTTAAAACATGTAATAAATAAGATAATAGGCCAATTTTAATAGTTTAAGCGACCATACTCGAACCACGAAACCCGGAAATGCCTAACACCTTCTCCCGAGTTAACAAAATTCTTTACTTAGAATTTCTGATTTCGTAGACTTTTAAATAAAGTCGATTTTTCTCGATTTGGGATTTTAAAATAAAACGGTGATTTGGGACATCATAAATTATTCCAAGTGGCCACTCTAAATTAAATAAAATAATCTCATTTCGAATAAAGTCACTTAAAATGGAAAAACTTCCTATCCCTTTTCGGGTAAAAAGGAGGTGTGACAACTGCTAGGCCATCATTCTTTAATGGCTGATCGGGTCCAACCCTACACCAGTATAGAGTGGCAAGAGCGGTCGATGCAGCTTTTACCCGAGAAGGTCGGGATCGAATCCACAAGGAGCTAATACAATGTTTGGAGTTGGATTCCTATCTAATTTAGCAGTGTGTAGTGCTCTTGATTATACTTCCAATCATTCTTGTTTGTTTGTTACTTCTAATATTTATACTAATGATGCACAAAATTAAACTAAGTAGATATTTTTGTAGGCTTTTCAAAATGGGTAAAGAGGCACTAAGGAAGTGACTTACTTCTAGGTGAGTATCCAACGGGATCTAGAACTTAGGGAAATAATGTTATAGTCGGGATCGTGATATAGCCAATGCATGAAGCTACTCACTCTACACCTCTCGGTAGTAAGAGTGACTTTGCCCTAATTAACTTTCTCAAGCCCAATTGGGTGTTCAATTTGTGCAAGCAATGTTGGCTCAGGTCGGGTATTACTATCTCTAGATTTAAACCTTTAATTGACGCTATCAATCTCTTGAATACACCCTAATTCCTTGTTGACCTGAATTTCCTAAACTTAAGCTCTCTTTCTCAAGAAGAGTCTAAGTCAAAAAGGCACTAATTAGTGTTTGCAACCACTAATTCAACATAGAAAGCATAAATTAGGCCAAATATCCATCACCCATAAATATCTAAGCCCTAAAATAAGAGATCCATTAAATACTCATACTAGGGTTGAGCCACAACCCTAGCTAATGGGTTTAGCTACTCATAATTGAAGAAGAATCCATAGATTAAGATGAAGAATAACCAATAAAATGTAATTACAAGATAAGAAACTAAGATTAATTGCTAAGCTAGCTACAAAATTACTCAAATAGGTAAAACTCGTTGTTTACATGCTCAGCTAACACAAGATGATCTAAAAATCTGAAAAAGTAGTATTTATACACAGCTAAATTTTTCGGGAAAAAATGCCCCTGACGGAGGTACTGCTGATAGCGGAAAATGGACCGCTGCAGCGGTGAGGTTACCACGGCCGCGTAAAATCAACTGCGGACCTCGGTCTTCAACTTTAGCTCAATCTCCAAGATCTCTAAATCCCTTCTCCACGGACCGTGGTAAAAGGATCTCTGTCGCGGTAGAGGTACCGCGGTCGCATAAAATCACTGCGGATTGCGGTAGCTTACAATCCCAAAAAATGCATCTCTCTGAACCTTGCCACCGCGTATCGTGATAAAAAGACCGCTGTCACGGTGGGTCTTCTGCGTCCGTGGTGGATTTTCTGATGTAGCGCTACTTTGACTTGGCTTTGAACTTGTGCAAGTTTCACTCCTTTTTGAGCTGGTTATGACATCCTTGTCTCTTCTTGACCAAACACTGCAAACAAGCATAACAAGTTAGCTTTTGGGAATACTTGTATACATTTTTAATCCAAAACTTAAGCAAAAAAGAGCGTAAAATAGACTAGAATCCCTCTCAGGCATGTCAGCATCGCACAAAGTGGCCTCCGTGACGGGCGAGGATGATGCCTTAAAAACGCTTTAGATATTTATGACTAATCAATGAGATAAAAACAAATATAAAGAATAGTAATACAAAAACCAAATCCTGTGAAAGATCCTCAGCATCCCTCAATGATAAGCCATAACTCAGTCGGCGCCCACTATGCACATCTCATGTCGGATAATCATCAGCAACCGTCGATGGCTTTAGAGGACCAAGAAAATACAGATTACACTCCTGTCGCGTAATGGCCATGCCCGTGAACAACAATGGAGCTGACGGGGTCACCTACGAAGTCCCTGGTGTCAGCTGAAGGCTGAATGGTAGCATATCACCAGGAGCATGGTCTGGCTCAGGGTGGTCACTCGGCTGATCAACTCCAACAACCTCAATGGGTGCCTCAACACCCCCCTGCCGGAGACCACGTCCTCGCCGACCCCCACGACCTCGTGGGACACCCCTACCTCTCTGGGTACGCTTGCCATGTCGACCACGTTTAGGATCTACTGCTGGCCTATGATGGTACTACTCAGGTGGCACATAATCAGCCTCGTATCCTAAACGCTCATTATCTCGGGCTCGCCTCAATGAATGAGAAGCTAGATTTGTAACCTATCGGCCATACTTGTGCAAAGTTGCCACTCCCTCGCCAATA